GCTAGTCATATAGGCACCCTCTGCCTAGCACATTCCAAAATTTCAGGCTCCAAAAAGGAGAGTAGGTATTCAGCATAAATCAAATTGTTTGTACAAACAGTCTGGATATAGTTAACCACCATTATCAGTTAACTGTTAACAAGAAGCTAAGTTCCCAGATACCAGCCATTGGCCAAACTTGCAAGCAGGCATTTCTAAGGATAGCAGTTTCAGACCTACCTTTTAATTCTTTGCACAACTGACTACCAAAAAAAAAAATCTTTAGGGGCCGGCCCGGTGGCGCACTGCTATAGTGCGCCGCTTGGGAAGCGCGGTGGCGCTCCCGCCAAGGGTTCGGATCCCACATACAGACTGGTTCCCGCTCACTGGCTGAGCGAGGTGCGGGAGCAACACCGAGGGCTGCGATCCCGTTGCCGGTCCCGGTCCGGTACGGGGGCGACACTGAGGGTTGCGATCCATTGCCGGACATGGAAAAAGACAAAAAAAAGAAAAAAAATCTTTACATATAAAGCTGTAGATAGGTTGAAAGAAAAAGATATAATAATTAAAACACTAATCAAAAGAAAGCTGTAGAGTCTGTATCAATGTCACACTAAATATATATATATATATATATATTTTTTTAAAGATGACCGGTAAGGGGATCTTAACCCTTGACTTGGTGTTGTCAGCACCACGCTCACCCAGTGAGCGAACCGGCCATCCCTATATGGGACCCGAACCCGGGGCCTTGGTGTTATCAGCACCGCACTCTCCCGAGTGAGCCACGGGCCGGCCCCACACTAAATATATTTTAAAACAAGCAATATTACCAGAGATAAAGAGCAATATTTCATAATAACAAAGGAGTTGATTCATGAAGAGGATGTAACAATCTTAAATTTGTAGGTACCTCATAACAGAGGTTCAAAATACAAGAAGTAAAAATGATAGAACTGCAAGAAAAAAAAAAATAGATAAGTTCACAGTAATAGTTGGAAATTTCAAAACTCCTCTCTCAATAACTGATAGAATAAGTAGACAGAAAACTAGTAAGAACAAAAAAGACTTAACAAAATTATCAACCAACTTAACCAACATTTACAGACACTCCAACAATAGCAGAATACTCATACTTTTCAAGAGTACGACACCAAAATCAACTATATTATGGGTCATAAAACAATGTAAGAGTATTAAAATGATATATAGTATGTTCACTGGCCATAAAAGAATTAAACTAGAAATCAATAACAGAAAGACATGTAGAAAATCCTCAAATATTAGAAAATTTAACATATTTCTAAACAATTCTAAATATTTTGAATGAAATTAAAATGAAAAATATAATATATAAAAATTGGTGATATGTAGCTAAAGCCATACTTAGAGAAAAATTTATAGCATGAAATGCAAATACTAGCAAAGAAAAAAGTTCTCAATCAATAATCAGAGACATCACTTCAAGTTCTATAGACATTAAAATCATTATGAGAATAATAAGAATAATTTTCTGCAATTAAATTCAACTACTGAGATAAAGTGGATAAATTCCTTGAAAGACTCCATCAAAGTCCACCCAAGAAGAAATATATAAGATGAACAGCCCCTATATCTATTTTAAAGATTGAATTCAATATTTAAAACATTCCACAAAGAGAACCCCAGACCCCAAGTTGTCACTGGTGAATTCTACAAAACGCTTAAGAATGAAATAATACCAATTCTACTTAAACTCTTCTACTTCTGGGAAGATGGAGTAGACATACATTTCTCTATTCCTCCTGCTAGGTCAAATAAATACCCTGGCCATTATATATAAAACAAAGACAAGAAGGCTCTGAAACGTGTAAAGAAGAATAGACTGTCTAGGAACCTCAGGACCCAGGGAAGGACATGGTGATGAGTTCCCTGAGTTGTTTTCATACTTAATACATCCCAGAACTGAAGCTTAAAAAGTCAGCAAATTGGAAATGCCAATAGATCCAGACAAAAAACAAACTAAAGCATGCTTTCTCCAGCAGAGAGAGATAAAGAACCAGGAAAGAGACAGCCTAGCAATTCAGAAAACTTTTAGACAATAACCATGCTACTTTAGCTAAATACCACAGAAAAAACTGTGGTCCTGCCCAAACCCACGCCAGAATTCCTCATGAACACAAATGCAAAAATCCTTGGCAAAATGTTAACAAAGCAAATCACACATTATAAGAAAAGGATGATATATCTTGGCCCAGCAGGATTTTCTCAGGAATGCAAGGTTGGTTTTAACATTCAAGAATCAATCAGTGAAGTTCATCATATTAATGTATTAAATAAGAAAACCATATGATCATCTTCAAAAATGCAGAAAAGACATTTGACAAAATTTAATGCCAAGTCTTGATCTTAAAATATCAGAAAAACAAAAACAAAAGGAAATTTCCTCAAGTTAAAGGACCTCTGAGAAAAACTTCATATTTAATAGTAAAAGACTGAGTGCCTTCCTTTGAAGTCTGAGGACAAGGCAGAGATGTCCACCCCCATCACTTTTATCCATCATTATAAAGAAGGTCCTAGATAGTGCAGTTGGCAAGAAAGTTACACAGATGGGGTCTCATGAAACAAAGCGTTTGATCATCTTTGATCATTTGTTGTTTCTTTTCACTAAATTTAATCTTTATACTTAATGCTATTTTATTAAATAATTTGCTATTTTAAGGGAAACAATTACTACATAAGTTATAAATTGCATACAATAATGCAGACATGAGGAAGACCATATTGTCTCAGAAGCTTGATTTGGGCTCAGATATACAAATATCTGCATCATCTTTTCAAAAGCCTGTGTGTGCTAAAGCAGAAATTCCAAAAAACAAGAACAAATTTTTAAAAATATTTTTATTAGCATATTCGTTACACATCATACTTATTCTTTATGTCCCTTATCGAATCTCTCCCCTTCCCTCTCCCCCTCCCTTATTCCTCTTCCCCCTCCTCCCCAAAGAAAACAATTTTTTGTATTCTCAACCTAATGATAGTATTCATTTCAGCAGACCTTTAAGGAAACCTACCAGTAGAATCTTGTTCATCTAACTTGGGTGTGGTTGAAAGTGATCGACTTTGGTGGCAGATTCAAGGACACTTGTACCTCCCACTGAGCCTTGATGTGGCCTCAGCCTCCTTCACAACACAGGGCTCTGGTCAGCCACCTCAATACACCTCAGTAGACACACAGGATGAAAGCTATTTTCTATACTTTGAATAAGGTCCTTTTACTTGGAGAGAAAAAAAATCTATAATTCAGGCTGTATTCATGCAGGCTGACCTATCTGGTATTGATCTGATTAGGAATGTTTGTCTTTTCTTTGAATTATTAAGGTATTTAGTCTGACCATGAGGCACTACAGTGTAGAATGTGCATGTGTAATAACTACACTCTATATAAGAAGTTCATAAAGAAGTTCATAAAGAATTTATTAGTTTATTCCTATAAATCTTGAATGCCACTCAACATAAATCTTAAGGCAGGTACACTTAATTCTTTTTAACAGTTCCAAAAGGAAGAGTTGGACCTAGAATTCCATAGTCCAATTCAAGGTGATTCCAGGGCAAGGTGATTCCAGGACCCAGCAGGGGTAGGCAGGGGTGCTTCGCTCACATTTTAGCAGTCTGCGCTTAATAAGTGAGTCAGACCCTGTCAGGTACCCTAACACCTGTTGTGGAAACCAATGCAATAGAAATGGGATCTTTAAGAATTGGATATAGATCTTTGGCAGAGTCAAAGTTACAAAGTTTAATTTAAAGACGTTTTTCAATGTAAACCTTTTTTAAAATTTTTTATTTTAATTTATTTTATTTATTGAATCAAGATTTATTATACATATTTTGGGGACTCAACATTGAGACATGTTGACCAAACCAATATTACTAGCATATACATTGTTACAAATTGTAATTATTCTTTATGCCCCTTGTCCAATCTCTCCCCATCCCCTTCTCCCTTCCCCCGCCCCTCTAATTACCCTGGATTTCTACTCTCCTTCTGAAAGAATAATGGTGATTCTGCTGATTTGTTGCCTAGATGATCTGTCCAATGCTTAGAGGTGTGATCAGGTCCCCCAGTATTATCATAGAGCAGATGGTTCTTCTGTCACTCTGAAATGGGCTTTGTGGAGAGAGACATCCTCTTCTTTTCTTATCTCTGCTGGTGACTCTCCTTGTGTCAATGTACTCCAGTGGTTGGCGGACCATCTGTGTGGTGGTTGTGGCATCTAACCACTTTTGCAGCAGCCATGGTTATTGTTGTGTCTGTGGTGGGCCACCCACATGGAGGCGATGTTTTTGGCATGCTCCTTGGCGCTGACGTGGTATGCCTGGTTGTGGGGAGGGTCTGCTCCCTGGCTCCATGACTCGGGTCAGCAGGTGGGCCCCGAGGTGCTGGCATGGTGTGCCTGGTTGTGGGAGGGGGGTCCAGTCCCCTTCTCCATGACTCAAGTCGCTGGGTGGTCCCCAAGGCGCTGGCACAGAATGTAAACCTTTCTTTAGAAATTCCATCTGAAAGAGGGTCCCTTAAAGTTGTCTATGGATCTAATAGCTCGATTTCTGAAGGAAGTCCTTGATTTGGGGGAATACAAATCTCTGCAGGTTTTGGCTTCTTGGCTTTCTAAGCTGCATGCAGAAGCCTGCAGGTCTGCTGCAAAGGCTGCAGGAGAATCATGAACTCAAGCTTTAGTGTAGGGTTGGAGCAGCAAGGAACCCACAGGTGGTTTAAGGTCATAGTGGGAAGCAATTATGTTTTCTGGAACATGTCAGTAGACAGGTGAGACTCTCATATCACCAGACCAGGGAGGGCATTAGAGGACCAGCCTCTGTGAGACAAACCTTGCAAAGGAAGTTCTGGACAGAGATGGTCATCTCCTATCTGCCTGGGTACCATGAGCCAGAGGTCTGAGGCCAGTTGTTTCCCGGGGTTTTCACCCCCTCACTCTTTCCCCTCTCACTCTTTATCTTCAGGGGGAACTGACTATGACAAGCAACATGGAGAACTTACAGAACGCCCTGTACCTAGATATGGTGCCAGAGCCCTGGGCCAGGCGAGCCTACCCTTCCACAGCAGGCTTGGCAGCCTGGTTTCTGGACCTCCTCAACCGAATCAAGGAGCTGGAGGCTTGGACAGGTGACTTTGCAATGCCCTGCACCGTGTGGCTGACAGGTTTCTTCAACCCCCAGTCCTTCCTGACAGCCATCATGCAGTCCATGGCCCGCAAGAACGAGTGGCCCCTGGACCAGATGGTGCTGCAATGTGATGTAACAAAGAAGAACAGAGAAGAGTTCAGATGCCCTCCTCGGGAGGGGGCCTACATCCATGGCCTCTTCATGGAAGGTGCCCGCTGGGACACACAGGTAAAGCCCCAGATGAGCCAAAGTGCATCCTCTTGTGAGCTGATTAAATACACATTGTCTCCCATAAAGTGTAATTACCAAGAGGGATGCCCTGAATCTTTTTACCTAGACAATCTTGCTTTCCTTGAGGCTGGCAAGTCATTTTTATCCAGCCAGGGGTGGTGCAAAGAGCATAGACTTTGGAGAAAGAATCGAGTGGAGTAGTTAAAAGTGAGGGCTCTGGGACCAGACTGGCTGGATCTGAATCTCAGCACCACCATTTATTAACTCTGTGATCTTGGATATAGTTTTACCTCTCTGGATCTCAGTTTACTCAACTGTTAAATGGGAGAATAGAGTCACTGTGAAAATTAAATGAGTTAATATGTAAGACACTTGAACAGTGCCTGGCACATAGGCAGTGCTCAAGAAGTGTTTGAGTCAGCTATCGCTGCTGCTGTGTGACCTGAAGATATCATTTCACCTCCCTAGTCTACTTTCCACATTCATGAGCTCTAGGAGGGCAGAAATCCCTTCTTCCTGTTATGTTGTTCTGTGTCAGCAAAGGGGAGCCAGTAGATGTAATTTAAAGTAACATTTTGAAGGGATTCCTCACTGAAGGCTAATAAAAATTTGAGTCACCATAAAATTGGGGAAGATGTTTTGTCATGGATAGGAAATGCAAACAAGCAGATGGCTGGGATAAATTAAATGTACAAGGATGAATAACTCTAGAACAAGTTTAAGATTGTCATACATATGATCTGAAAAGAGTGCCTAGTCAAATATCCCACTTGGCAGGTGACACTAAACTCTTCCTAGCAGTCAATGCTAACTAAGCCAATGGGACAAAACTGTTAGAAGATCTAGAAGATCCCAGGAGGCCATGTGAATCTGCACATAGAGATGTACTGAGTTCACTAGTATCCCACCAAAATTCTGTCCACCCAGAACCTCTGAATGAGGCCTTATTTAGAAACAGGGTCTTTGCAGATGTAATCAGTTAAGATGAGGTCATACTGGATTAGCAGGTACCATAAATCCAGTGACTCATGCCCATATAAGAAAGCCATGTGGAGACACAGAAGAGATGTTCCCAGTGACGATGGAGGCAGAGACTGGAGTGATGCAGCTACAAGCCAAGGAATGCCAAGGATTTGCAGCAACCACCAGAAGCCAGGAGAGAGGCATGAGACGGCTTCTGCCTCACAACCTCCAGATGGATTAACTCTGCCTACTGATTGAGGACTTCTGGCCTCCAGAACTGTGAGAGAATAAATTTCTGTTGTTTTAAGCCACCAAGTTTGTGGCAGTTTGTTGCACCAGCCCTAGGAAACCAACATAAGAGCCAACAAAGAGGACAGTAAAGTGGGAGTGTTCAAACAGCCCAAACCTTGAGACGGTAGTTACTGTCCCTCTCTCCACCTGAACATCTGCACAAGATTCTGTCGGTGGAGATAAAATATAGATTGTATTAGGTGGAGAGTGGCCTAGGGCAAGCCACAGCCAGGATCGCAAAAAACACCAAAATGAGAGAAATACAAAAAGGAAAGTAGGGAGGAAACTCAGAAGGCAGGACAGTGGCACTTGAGGAAAATGAAGGATATCAGTCCCAATCATCAACCTCCCATTATTATACCTCGTTGCAAATAATAGCAACTTTTCAAAAATCAATACCTGTCCACCATGAGCTCTTGTTCTCAAAGGTTCTATCCCAGAAAGAAGTAAGCAAAACGTGAGAGTCAGGACCTTCAAAAATCCTCTCCATAAAACAATAAAAACGCTGGTTAAAAAAAATAATTTTTTTAAAAAAGGCTGAATCAACATTTTCAGAACTCTGGAAATTTACTAAAGGCTTTGACAAATCCAGAGTGTTTATTTGAAAAAAATGGCTAAATCTCAGTAAGAACTGCAAATTCTGTGGCCATTTAACTTGCCCTATTCCCATATCCTCCCTATCCCAGGACTGTGGTAGCCTTGAACACCAACAGGCCACAATCACAGCCAAAACCAGCATCCTGGCAGCCACTGGATGGGGAAAAATGAAGCTGGAGTACCTTCAAAGCCCCATTCCAAGAAAACTATCATTATTTTCTCTGTCTAGTGATTCCCTGTAAGACCCCCCTTTCAAGTCTGTCTTATTTGACCTAAGTTGGAACTCATCCAGGGCAACAGCCGTTTCCCCTGGTTTTGGGGGTTTTTTGGGGTTTTTTGTTTTTGTTTTTTTTTGTGATGGCTGGCCTATATGGGGATCTGAATTCTTGACCCTGGTACCCAGCGGTATCTGTTGAAAATAATCAGCAGGCACTGTAGCTTGCCTGAGGCAGTTGATAACAATGGAGTAAACAATAAGCTAACCAAAAAAAGTTTAAAAGGACAAGCTGGAGAATGAGCTGTCCATAGGTGGCTTTGAAAACCGCCAACTTATTCCCATAAATCTAGACTCCATGACTATATATGGAGCTGTGCACATGGCCAGGGCTGTGTGCATGCTTACAAAAGACTTGAGAATGCACTACACTCTCACTTTTACCTAACCTTGAGGTTCTCTGCTATCAGGGAAATGAAGGCTAAGGCAGAGTAGTTAACTGACTAGCTGAGCACTGAAGCCACACCCCCCCCCACACACACAGAGCCCCTCAGTAAAGACTGTGATGCTTACTGGTTCCAGGTACTTATGAAAATCTCTGTCCAATTATTTGCTGAACACAAGCTAATTGAGCAGGCCACTTCAGTGGCCATATATGCCAAAGAACACAGACTTTGCAAAATCAGTTCAGAAAAGTCACTAAGCAAACAATAAACTCTATGGAGAATCTTATTTCTAGAGTGGCCAAATTATGTTAAATGTCCAGTTTTGAACAACAGCAAAAAAAAAAAAAAAAAAAAAAAAAAAAGAAAAAAAAAAATTTTAAAAAAA